TCAGCCGGTGATCGTGACGACGTGACGCCATGGCTGACATGCACACACGGTCGGCTGGCCGTCACGCACTATCACCTCCCCCTGCCTACCCCTCTGTCAGCTGCAGACGGCGTGGGTCGGCGGAGACTCATGAACCGCGTGAGCCAGGGGAGATCGGGCTCAGCTGAGCCACCCGCACGGACAGATACAAAATATACAAAGGCTTTAGGCTTATGAATCTAAAAAAAAAGGAAAATCACAACCGACTTCGCGAACCAAAACGAGGAATAGAGACACTTGAGTCGGGGCGACTTGAGTGCTCCCAACGCTTCCCAGGCTTCCCAAGTTCAGTTCAGTCGCCTCGCGCATGTGACTCACGACCCCTGGGTGATGAATGACGGTGTTGAGCTCTTCCAGAGTGGATTACACTGTCGACTGCGCCAGACGGCTGGCGAAAAGTCATTTACTGGCAGCACGCAGAGACGGCGTAATATTTCAGCCCGGCTGTCACCAGCACTGGAAGTGCGCCGGCAGCCACGGGCGGCTGCAGTGACGCTCAATGAGGTCACCAACGCAGCGCTCTGCTCCGTTTTCTTTCCGGAGTTTTGCGGCTGTCCTATTCGCCAGTGACCGCTGGTCATCCGATCTCATGAGATAGAATATAATATGATCTCAATATAATCTCGATTATCTCAGATTATCTCGATTATCTCAATATAGTCTCGCAATATAATCTCGATATGATAATATCGAGATATAATCATATCGCACATGCCAATCGGGTTATAACATCGCCATTCGCCATGAACGATATTGCCGAAAGGTAGGCTGGTATGACATCTAATGAACGTAGAAGACACATCCGCGTGGGTCATCTTCAACTAGCGGACAAGTTGGCTCCATCCAGACATGAAGCCACACCGCGGCCGGCGCTGTCGGTTCGAGGAGGCCGCTGGCTTTCGGAGCCCGCCGGCCAGTGCTCTGTGATTGCAGGACGGGGAGATCAATACGACCCGACTCGTCCTGACGTCATGAGCCAGCCGGCCGGCCGGACCGACCTGGCGCGGCCCGAGGGACCGTGCCGGGGAGATACTGTGGAGGGCGGACCGGATGGAAAGGCTTCCAGCCCGACAGCGTGATCACCCAGAGAAATGAGGCCCTTCGCTTCAGAGACGTAGAGCCTTTGAAGAAAGCCTCCAAAGCGCCTCATCCAATTTAACCCTCTCACCCCATCTATTATTCGGCCTAATCTCAGCGTTCCCCTCGTTTTCCGATGCAGATCGGCCGGCGCCTCCGTTGAGTAAGCCATTTATCGCGGCGCCGACCCCTGTTGATCCATTTCCAGCGCGTTGCACCCGGCGGCGGCGCCCTCAGCCGCGGCCAACAAAGGATCGCGCGGCGCGTGCACGGCGTCTCGACAGGACCGGGCACCGGGCGCTGGAGGCAAATGATCGGCGTCGACGATCGATGCGGGCCCTGGGCGGCGGTGCTGTCTCCCGACGACGGCCCTGAACAGGACGCTGACCCCCGGGACAGAACCCGTCGGGAAGCCAGAGAGGGACGACGACTTAACGAGGAAATCTGAAAAAAAAATGAATGTGGTCATCCACCATAAGACCATAAAGTCAGACTCCTGAGAGAGTTGCATTACCGGAAAAAGGAATAAAACCATACAATTATAATAAATCAAGTAGAACTGCATCATCCGTCCTTTGAACTCAAGCGATTCACATGCCAATCAAGGAAAAGTTTCCTAACAAAACCAACTATCAACGACCTATCGCCACTCTAGGAGGTGGGCGTCGGTACGGGTGAACCCCGCCCGATGACGCTGGTCTCATGGCCCGGCGAGGGCAGCTCTGAGAGGGCTGGTCGGCGGATCGGCCGCACTTGGGGGAACTGACATCACCGAATGAGGTGGCAGCCAGACGCCGGCTCAGGCACGGCCTGGGAAGATGGGCGGGTGGGCGGTAAGACATCGCCGCTATGACGAAGCAACGATCATCAAGGATGATTTGTGATGGAGCAGCCGGACGGTATATAAGACATGGAAAAGGTAATATTTTGGCTTCAAAGTCCTCGGCTTGTACCTACATTAACTCAATGACAGATTGTCATCAAGACCGTAACATCCAAGCATTTTCAGTTTTAGGGTCGAACTTAAAGGTGGTGGTTTTAACCAGGAGCACAATCGTCCTTGGCCCGCGCCGCAAAGCTCGGCGGTGGCCATGTCGTCACGTTCCACCGAACATTGTAACCAGGCCGGCCTCGTTTGGATTTAACCCGAGCGACGCGAAACATCAATCAGATTCACGGCCGCCACATAGCCGTCAGACCCTCCGCCGCGCCGTCTCGGTCTGACCCTCAGAGTCCCTGATACTCCTCAGATCAGACACGACTCGACATGGACTCTGACAACTTGTGATCATGTATCATCACAGTTGTACTACTGTTGACATCACAATGTGACTCTGAGTGGGAGGGTCATCATCAGCGAATGTAGACACCCCACCACGGTGGCTGACCGGGGAACACCAGCAGGCTTGTCATGCTTCCACTGATATTCCCTACAGGTGTCGGAGCGTGTCGACGACACAGCTGCGGTAATTGTCACCATCTGTTATCGGTAATAGCCCGGTCCCTGACCAGTCGGCGTGTGGCGATCAGCGGCCGTCAGACTCGCCAGTCGTCTGGGCCCGGTCGTCGATCGGTTTGTTGACATCTCACTAAGCGTCGACTGCGGAACTGTGCCATGGAGATTTGGACAGACGAAGGTGACCAGGACAGTGGTCGATTCACTGATCAAGAGCTGAGCAGGACCACCAATTTGGTGATCCAGTCAGCTGACATCAAGACACAGCCATAGGCACGCAAGGTGCGAGATACCCAACGGCAGCCACCCGCTACGATCCTTAGCGAAACTCCAGTCATCACAGTTTCGTCCATAACACCTTGTCACCACCATGGTGTCCACGGGTGGCGGAGCAGCTGGGTCGGAGTGTCTGCGGCTCTGTGTCGGCTCCCCAGACAGCTCGTCACCGAGGCGTGCTGTGACCGCGTCATTACCCGGAGCACAGACCGTGGAGGCTACTGTGGCCGCTACCGGTCTGTGCGGCCACGCCGGCCTTCACATGGGGGACGCGGCACCACAGCGGCCACCACCGCCCGGTCTGCTGGGAATGGGCCGACCTGGGACCGGCGGATGCTGTGAGAGGTGTACAAAACAGAGCTCAAACTGTGACAAAACTATATCAGGGAGGAAGAGCGTTTGAGCATAGTGCATGGGTCATTACGAGCCAGCCAGCAAAGAAGCGATAAAATGCAAGTCACGAACAGCAGCGCAATGAAGTTGGGACAAAAGGCACGGGTGACAAGATGGATAACACTGAAAGGGTGATAAGAGCCACATGAAAAGAGCATGGGATTCATTCACCAGTGGATGAAATGGACCAGACATGATTCAGGCACGTCAAAATATAAATAAGAAAGGACAATGGAAGTCACACGAACAATTTGAAAACCACCGAAAAAAAACTCCGCCGAGGCCATGTAACCAGTCCATCTAAGAAAACCCTGCGTGGTGCGCGGCCGCAGCACTCATCGCGCGCGCTCACACCGGACGCTGCCGGCATGGCTGGCGCGCCGCGGTGTGCACAGATGAGACGCACCTGTGCAGATCAGTGCACCGGGACCGTGCTGTGCACTGTGCACGAGCTTTGGTAAAAACGGACAGCCGCAGGCGTCCGGCCTCAGCCGCATCGACCGCAAACACTGGACGGTGGAGATGATGAGTGTCAGCCCTGACGGGCAGGAGTGGCTGAGAGCGGACGGGTCGCGGTGGAGGGCAGATGGGGTTCGAGGTCTCCAGGTGGTATCAGTGGCTAGCTGAACTACATAACATGGTCATAAGATGAGATTCAGCTGCTGGCGGGTTCCGTGGCACGAGGACAAAAAGACTGACGTAGGTATGTGTAAGGTCCAGCAAAACGGGAGATGCTAAAACGTCTGGAACAGTCAACAGCAACAGATGGAGAATGTCAAGGCCAACGCTCTAAAAACTGAATCTGTCACTCTCATGAGCCGAGGCATTCCAAACTTCACCGAGCCCACATCTCTCAAGACAATTCACCGGAATGCGGACGGTAGACCGCTCCATCTTCACACCACCGTTTTGGTATTCGTCCGTGTGAACACCAAAGCTCTGGCGACGCACGACCAGCACGAACATCGTTTTCGTAAGGACAGCCTCGGGACCGGTGACGAATGTTCACCAAACAACGAAGGAAGGACAGACGATTGCCACATGATTGACCTATGACCATGGTGTCAGATGTTGCGCCGAAGGACAGCCATCCCTTGATTTGAAATCCCTCCCGTTTTCAAACCGAATCTCCTCGCTCCGTGTCGTCTTCCGAAAGGAGACATTGACCCACGAACGTCTACACAGGATAGCCCTTCTCATGTATGCCGCGGACCACCGTCGGCGTCCATATCGTGCCGTGGGCGTGGACCGATCGCCGTCGGCGCTCCCACGTCCCCGAGGTCGTCACACGGCACCGGCTCTCCATAAACACACGTATCGCACCAGCCGCCGGCGAACGGGAGACACTTCCGGGAATCCGCCAACACCTCCGGACGCCGTCTGTTCGGACTGTGTCCACTTTCTGCGCCTGTTGCAGGTTCTCTCTGGTCCAGCCTTTGCTAAACCAAATAAAGAACAGTTTCAGCACGGAACAGCGCTTCTCATCCATCCTACAAAGCCTGCAGGCCTTTTCTGTGATCCATCACCAGACGCACTCAGCGTATTCATACCTCTTCCTAATAATCCAATGTCTGGGACCTATGCCACATACCAACCCACGTTGTCTACGACTCCACCTATTCAAGGCACCTCTTCCACCTCTTCATATACATTTGTCTTCTTCCTTCCCTTGCTGTGTTTCGCTCCTCTACGAGCGGTCTGCACTACCTGTCAACCTGTCTCGTCTCTGTGCCCACCTACAGCCCTTGCCCACACTCACCCATGATTGCGTGGCTCCGTGAAGTCCTCTCGTGTACTCCCCTCTCGACACCACACCGTTCCACCGCGCACCGTGCACCGAACGCTCACACCCCAGTCACACACCTCCTTACACCTCGGCGGCTCGCCGGCGACTGGCGACGGACGGGCCGACGACCGGCACGGGGCAACGGCGGCGGCGGCGGCGGCGGCGCACGCTCCGCCCGTGCCGCGACGTACCGAACCGCGCCGCCGTCACGGTCATCACAAAAGTTACCGGCGTTACCGGCTGGGGTGGACGAGAATTACCGACAGTGGCGGCACAGAAGTTACAGTAGACTCAGTGTACGATTGTTGATTAAGTTAGGGGGAGCCGATTGTGATTTAGTTAGGGAGACAAGATTGTGATTTAGTTACGAGACAAAATCAGGAAGAGTTTGCACTATTGAAGTGACTAAAGTCTATGAAGATCAGTGTCTGCTGACAAGAGTTCACAAACGAAAAACGCCTAGGGTTCGCGTTTGCAATGATCAGAGATGAACAGAGCGCAGCCGAACACTCAGTTTCACCGAGTTTCAGTTCATTTTCCACTCTCGCGTTATGACGAGCCGGCGCGGCGGTTCCAAACGGCCGGGCCGCACGCACACGCACGAAGCGCGGCCGGTACGACTCGGAGCGGGCCGCCCGTGTGGGGTGGAAGACGGAGGCCGAGGAGGGGCTGGCTCACCCTCCGCGGCGGCGAGTCTCCCCAGCGGCAGCTATTTCTGCCCGCTGCTCGGTCACACGTGTAGACCGGACCAGCTGTGTGACTGGGGAGGAGGGAACCAAACGTGTGCGCCAGGAACTGGTAAACACATGGCTCAGGAAGGCAGACATCTGTAGAGCGGCCAATTCCGAGCCACAGAGCAAGGAACGATGGGTATTTGAAAACGCTGAACGCCTGATCTCACTGAACCGCCAGAATACAGGGCACAACATCCTGAATGCAAGAACGAAACATCCAATCTGGAGGCACGACTCTCCACCTCATTCACCTCATCTCCGCCAAAACACCGTACCCCTGGCAGACTCTGGCCGCGGGGCCGTTCTCGTCTGCTCACTGGCTCTGTCACGCTGCGGCGCGATACCGGGCGGCGCTCACGGCAGACGTGACCGGTCGACGGCCAGAGCAGACGGCCGCGATCCGGCCGTGTCCTGATAGCTCGTCCATTCATGACCGGCGGATCGGGTCGGCGCCGAGCACCGGGCGGTACTCACACACCGGCCGTGAGTCGTGACCGGATAGGACAGCGTGGAGTTCACACCGTAAGGGTACGGACTGGAGTATGGAACCGTGAGTAGAATATTTACCCTCGTACTCCGTCACTCGAGTCGAGGTTATCGTTGCAGGCGTTAACAACAACTTTGACAAGCACAGCAAATATAAGCTTTTTTATCAATTCCAGGAGGCTCTGAAATCGGGACACAATAGGTTTTAGCAGATCCAGGGAGGACCGACTCAGTAGCATCAACCCGAGTTAGGACGTTCGCCATGCTAGCAGACGCCGACATCTCCTTAGCCCTGGCGCTCTGACAGCCAATTTGACCAGCGGAACGAACCTCACAAGTCCGTGACACTTGGCTCATGTCGACCGGACCGACTCGGTCAAAACCGGCCGGCCAGCTGGCCAAGAAACCAGAGTCAGCAACAAACACTACACGCTGAGCCCAGACCACACCGCCAGTGACGTCATCCTGCACTGGTGACGTCACATATGACGTCAGCAGGCCCTGGGTGACCTCATGTCGCTCGTCACGACAGCTCGGGCTGAGGTCGTTAGCGGATGGGCTCTGTAGTTTACTGCTGGATCCGGGTGACAGGAGATGGAGGGAGATGGGTACGGCACGGCTGACACCGGAGAGGGATGAGAATTGAGATAGTCAGAGTTGCATGATGAGTCAGTAGGCAGTAACCACATGCATCATGGAGGCCTAAGGAAGAGCAGGCATTCAACACCCAGTTTCGACATTTCAGGAAGAAAAACTGAACAACTGAAAGTCGACTGAAGTTTCTTCCACGAAAGGACAGGCAAGCTCACGTCCAGTAATGATGCACAATCACCATTCGTTACGCGTTTTAGTCCTGCAATGAGCGCGAGCACCACTGTAGGAATACAACAAAACTTGGTGGACAATTCAAGCAAAAAAGATAAAGACAACACACGTGAGCACAGAGAACACTTAAACCGTCTACACTTATACCGTGTTACTGATAAACATTTCTCTTAAAAAGAGACCACCCACGTAAGGAACCCTAGAACCGTCGGCAAATACTGTGTTACTGATAAACACAACGCCGAAACAGGTTTTGTTGGATCAAGTCCGGTCTAATACCGTCCTCAAATGCCATAGAAACACAAGTATGTACTCTACCAAAGCTGGCGTTACATCTTAAAACATGGGTTGGCCCGAGCAAAACGGCTTATCCTTGGTCGAATGCTCAGCTGGGTTAGCGGGCTCGTAAGATGTGGGATGTGTCACCGCTTAGCAGACGACCCACCGACGCACGTGGCTGGTAAATTCCAAATACAGCCGCTCCACGGAGGATTTTAGGAGACCACGACGGGAGCTACGCAAGAGTCGATACTTGGCTTGATTTGAAATGAAAGCACAGTGGCATGCACCAAGAGTACTCAATCGGGAAATGAAATGGTTATCGATATCATCAGACCCATTTTCATAGATGTCATTCCCATTTCATTTCCCGAAACGTCATCCCCAACGAGCAAACACGCAACCATTTATCCATATTAGCCAGTAAAAGTCAAACGAGCTGCAATCAAACCAAACTCCAATCCCAGAGCTACTTTACGAGAAATACTCAGTCGATGGTCTCCAAGCGTTGGTCTGACTCCTGATTGGCGGTGGCGACTCTGTCAAACCCCATGTCATTGCGTGGGCCGTGGAGGCCGTGCAGCTTGTATGGGCTGTAAATGGTCGGACTATTACTTCCGAAAGATAGTGGAGAGTAGAGATCCCACGCTGCAACGGCCCACAGAAGGGTAAAGTTCAGTCATCAGCAGGTCCATGACAGGAGGGAGGGATGCGCTGGAGCGTCCAGTTACAGCTGGCCCTCCTCGCCGGTGCGCGTCAGACGCTTACCCCTTCCCCTGTTCACAGAATTCGAGGGTGGCCTTTTCTCTCGGCGTTATCCGAACTGTGACCCCAGTTCTGGTCGTGCGACCCACGCACAGCCCAAAAGAACACCAACAACTTCCCTGAACGACTCCGCCTCATCCCATCGCCGCTTCTCTCGCTGTCAAACGTATCCTCCACCCTGCCAAATGAAGCCATTCGCCGAAGAGACAACCATGGGGAGACAGAGACTCTCACCCCCGCTCGGAGACCCGAGTCACCAAGGGTGGGGCACGGGAGACCGCCCGAGCCGTGAGGGTACCTGGCCATACATCACCAGCTAATCATCACCGTTCCATGCTTCTATCCTCAGGATGCAGAAATCCTTCTCCTCCATGCCGCAACCCCCCTCCGGGCTGGACAGGCAACTTTATCTCATGCGGGCTGCTCCCTTGGAGCGGCACCGCTGCTCCCGAGGGAGCGCACCCCGTAGCCGGGTGCAGTGAGTGCCTTGGGGCTGGGTGGCCTGTCCTCTGGACGGGCTCAGCCCCGGCGACTCACTAGGGTGCCTGCCCAGACCAATGTCTCCCCCTAATTCCTATCGTCCTTCCGGCTCTGCAATGGTCTTGTCAGACCGAAAAGGCCTAACCCAACAAAACAAACAAAAAACACCAGCTAATAATATACATCGATCAGGGGCCCGAGTGACGGTCGGGGCGATCCACGCGCACCAGCCGGCCCTCCGAGACCGGCACGACCCCGCAGTCCCGGGAATGTTGAACCCGGGGGCGGGGGTCACGGGAACTGTCAGCTCGGAGAGGGGAGAGCGCGCGGAGAGTGGGCATGACATGAGAAGTGTTCTATCTAAAGAACCGGGCTGAGTATGCAGGGCCTGTGGGATTCTTCGTGGGCTCAGGGACGGGTTTTCACCTTAAAACCTAGGACAGGCTTCGTCTAAAATGAATAGGGGCTTGCTTCATTGTAGTAGATTTCCTCAATACTGGACACCTTATAAAGCTATAATTCATAAACACATTGGTTCAATGGTGATTTTTTTTTTTCCAGAAGCGGTGGTAAGTCGCCCTAGCCTACCACATGCAAGGGGTAACCACCATGTAAAAAACAACACCTAAGGGTAACCACCATGAACTTACGGCACCCATAGCATTATACAATGCATGGCTACACACTTTCAGCCGAGCCGAGGCCGATTCAGGCTAATCCATGTGAACGTCAGGCGGTGTTTGCCTTGTCGTTCTACTCCTGACTGCTAAACACCATATTTTTAATGCGTCTACAATGGGCCGACCGGCACATGGAGGAAAATACGACATCCAGATAACGAACGCGAGGCCCGTGTCGGACAATGCACTATGCAAGTTCCGGCATTAATTATTCGCGCCTGGGCACGGGACGCGGTGCCGCTCGTCACGGTCCGTGTTCGAACAGTGAGCCATCGGCCACCTGTTCCGCTCTCAGTTTCAGTCGTCTGTCTGTGATGGAAGGGGAAAAGACGTAGCACGGAAAATATTGACCCGTTCAGTTTAAACCAGTGACCAGTTGGAATACGTAGGCATCGATTCGTGTTCATGCAAATGCACACATCACTAGCACAGAACAGAGTACCGTACAGTGGATCTATTAAGGATCTCCAGACGTTACTAGATGGCGTTGAGCCTCAGTCGAGTCCATGTCAAATTCAAGGGGAGGTCAGTACCGAGCTGGGCCCGATGGGGGGGGGGGGGCGGTTGGCGAGGTCACGGTGCGGGTGACCTGTCAAACAGCCCCGGCGTGGTGGGGCACTGCCGCAGGCAAATGGCGCACTCCAGTGTTGTTCCATATCGCGGTGGTGGGCCGGGCGGCCGGTTAGCTTGGCTACTTGGAAGGAAAGGATAATGAGGCATGGGTTTGCTGTGGCCGGTTCATCTACTGTCAACTATGATTAACCCAAAGTAATGCAAATATGATGTTGGTAATGCAGCTGGCAATGGAATGCTAGCGAATGCTCCGAGCGCCCGGTAGCTAAGGATTAA